CTTTCTCTTAAACAGAACACTTTCTCCAGTATAGAATCCTGTGTTGATTCAAGCAAACAAAGTAATTACGTGGTTCCAAATCCTTTCAATTTATGAGACTTTTTTCTGTCTCTCACAGCTGGTTACTAAACCCTAATGCAACTGCCACCCACACATCCCCAGCAGACAGAATGAAACAGCCACGGGTCAGGGGTCAGGCTGCATTTGCCTCTTTACAATTGAAACAACAGTTGTGAAAACTCAACTCTGACAGAATTGGCACGTGAAGAAAATTGATGAGGGCAGAACATCTAAGGAACGGAAGGAAAAGGGGCATGCCCAGGATGAGCAGCTTCAAGGGCATACCAGAAATCTGCTGGGAGGATTGAAACATCTTTATAAACAGTGACAGACCAACCCCATGCTGCCATCAAGAGTGAGACAGCTCAATTTGAAATCAACAATCAGGGCCAATGCTGGAATCCAGAGTCTGGTCTTCCTAGGATAAACACTAGAATCATTCTGAAACAAAACCTTGAGCTATGTCATAGCTTTGCCAAAAAGACTTACCAACTAAACTTAATTGATAATTAATTTTCTAGTACTGGCAGGTAGCCCACTAGAAATCAAGGATGACCTTTCTCAGCTGTTTAGATTTTCACTTGAGGTACTTTAACAAATTGCATTTATTCTTCTATTCAGGGTGGAGAATGAAAAAAGTTTCTTTTTTATATAAAGAAAATTTGAAAAAATGAGATAATAAATTAAGAAAAATCAATAAACAGCTGCCAGCAATGAAAGAAAAATTTAAAACGTCTGGATAGCAAAATCCTATAAACAAATCACTCACTAGTAAATTAACTAGTTAAATGAAATGTTAGTGAACCCTAGAGTGTCTGTCCTTATATGATATACTATTTCTGTGGAAAATTTAAAACAAGCTACATATCTGTTTCTTATTTAACTGTGTCTCCAAACAGAGAGCTCTTCATCTCTCATTCTCTGAAAGCAGATTTTGTAATTTATGAACATATATTAATTGCTTATGGAAAAAGGAGAATTTAATCAGAAACCTTCATGTGTAAGTAGATATTTCCTTAATCTATCCGCCATCATTGTTCTATGAATTCTCTTGTATTTTTTAAGCATTCATTTCAACAAATTCTAAACCTGTAGTAATAGCCCATTCTTAAGTCAAGATAGACTTAAAATGGATGTTGTAGACTAGCACATTCCAAGAAGGTGTTGCTTTCATTGTTGACATTTTGTATTCAACTCTTACTTTTTGAGGAAGGCAACAAAACAAATATCACCAATACATTTTGAGGAAGGCAACCAAACAAACATTACCAATCAGTCAACAACTTTTAACCCACACTATCTCCTGAAGTACAATAAGCATAGGTTTTGCAACAAAACAGAGGACCCAAGTCCACAAACTGGTTCTTCCTTTATGAGAAGACTACCATGAACTAACTTCCTTAGCACAGGTACTGTTATTTATCTTAAGATATCTTAGCTCTGTTTGAGTTTCTATACTGCTACAACCATGATTTGCATTTAATACCTAATTAACACTTATTGGTTAATGATCATAGGAGTCACACTCTAGTTTGCTGTACCAACTGTGAGATATAGTGGGTAGGTCATGCATAGACAAGAATAAGCTATCAATACTGAATGGCTATATTGCCTATATTACGCAGTATACAGCACAAACATCAGAATTATAGAGGTCATAGCATACTCACATTGATGTCTCATAGGATATAGATTGATGTAAAGTTTAAACTGCAAATCAACATGTTAAGTGTGCCAAATCTGAAATTAATAAAATATGTCTGAACCTATGGATATTTAAAATTTGAAATAACAGTATAATAAATTCAAGAAATACTTTATCGATTAATCAATAAGTTCTTGTTATATCATCCCCTTGGGAAAAACAGATTTTTATTCCCAAAATATAATTTCCTCAATACATTACAAAACTAAGTAAAATAATATTAAATCAAATAAAAATTGGTCTGAGAATCTTTAGTTTGTGCAGTTATTGTTTTCAAAAACCAACAAAAAAAGAAAACAAAAAACCTGTATAGACCATTTTCTCCATATCATTCTAGGAAATTAGAAAGTGCACTGGAAAAATCAGAAAACAAAGTATCAAGCAAATTTCTTCCTCAAAAAAATTGCTTCTAAGAAGATGGAATCTAAAATGTACAATACAAGCCTAATCAGGGGAAAGAATTGCTCTAAGCTATTAATTCTAGTTTGGATGTTTAATCTCTGACTAGTGGACACTCAAAAAAGATTTTGAGTAATCTTCTGATTTAAGAATTAAGGCAGTCAGGTGCTGGAGCATATCTGAAAATATGAAGTAGGTATCATCGGAGTAAAAGTTGGTTCTTTATAGGTTTCGCACAGCAAACAATCACATAATATAAACACCACTGATAAAATATGTCTAAGGACTTATTCCAGAATTACTGCATTGCATAAAGATTGGCTGCAAAAAGAATGTTTGGTAGGAAATGGTATATAAGGGAAGTCATTCATCTTTTAAAAGATTCCGATAAACCATTTTAAATAAGAAGAATGACATATGCTGTTGAAAGCCAGCAAGGTTATGATTAGTTGACTCTAAAGCTTAGATTCTGAACTCTGTCTGTCTCTGGAAAGTCAACACTGTTGATCATGTGCTGTGTTTATCCAACTCTTACCCCACTGCTTTAAGTACCATGGGTTTGGACTGAGCTTTGTCAATTCAGCTATCCCAAACTTTCAACACCCCTTTGCTCAATGCATTTCATATTTTGAGACTTCACTTCTAAAACAAGCAAACAAAACAAAACAAAAAACAAAGCAATCATTCTTAGATTGAAATTACGGGAATTGGCGGGATGTATGGAATTCACATGATCTTAAAAATGACTTGCTTGGCCAATTAAAAGTGATAATTGGTCAAGCTAAAGAAAATTTTAGTTCTGATATTATAATTGCACCATCATAAATTCCTCTTGGTAATCCATATTAGGAAACAGATATAAGGACAAATGTCCAGAAGGAAAATATCCTGATGAAATATTCTTATATCTTATTTTTACCCAATCCATTTTGTTCTTTAATTAGCTAATCATACAATCATTTTATAAGGAATGTATAACTTAAGGTGGATAACATCCTGCTACTCACCAGTAAGTTACTTCTATTGTGTATTGTCTTTACTTTCTTAGTCCCCTGAAAATATGGAATAATCTATTTTTCCTATCCTATGACTAATGTAGATTATGAGCACATTAACACATATTCATAATGCATGAAATATCCCATGAAGAGTCATTGGAGTTTACTGTCTCTTTTGAAGATTTCATGCTATATCCAGAACAAGTAACTGATATACCATGCCTTTATACTATTGTCTCTGATAGAATGAGATTCAATGACACTTGAAAACAAAATGTTTAATTGATGAGTTATTCACCTGACAACTCTTAAGAAAATGTAGCTTTCTTGTGAGTGTTCCTATCCATTAAAGACTTTTATTTATTTATCGCTGAGCCACTTTACAGCATTTTGAGGTTTTTATTTTAGACTTCAAGTATTGTTAAAAAGACACTTGGGACTGGCTCAAGTTTAACAGGTACAGTGAGAGAACACTACTTCAGGAATATATGGCAGCCATTTTATAATAGTGCCCCAAATTTCCATGATATAAAAATTATTAGTAATCTCAACAGAGCTCAAACCTGGCAGAAATCTCATGTGAATGGAGAATGCACTCAACATGACACCATGTAGTTTTCTAACCTAATCTATTATTGACACAATTGCATTCCGTTTTTAGATAATTTTATTTCCTTTTCAAACAGACTCTAATAATACAGATGAACAGAACATCCTAGTTGCACAGTGATTCTGTGAGGACTCCACAAATAGCCAACAAATGTTCTCTTATAGTTATATGTGTCTGCGTTTCTGGGAAAAGGAACTTGATTGGTTTCACTAAACATCTTAGCATAAAAGTAGTAAATCTAGAGTAGAAGTCTAGCAGATGATTGCCATCTGAAATATTTCTCTACTTGAAACATGGACTAAGTCAGATTACATTGCATATTTCTAATAAAGGTGCAAGGACAGAAAAAGAAAAGAAAATTTAGAGTCACAGGGTTTTCATATTAGATTAGTTTGTTGGATAGTAAAGGAAAGGGCAGCATTGATGTGGTTCAAGAACAAGCATAGTTAAGCGTAATGATACCCATTCTCAGTCCCAGAACTTAGGAGACAAATCAGGAAGATGGGCAGTTTGAATCTAATTGGAATAAGAATCTGGAAAAAGGAAGAAGAGGAAGAAGAAGAAGAAGAAGAAGAAGAAGAAGAAGAAGAAGAAGGAGGAGGAGGAGGAGGAGGAGGAGGAGGAGGAGGAGGAGGAGGAGGAGGAGGAGGAGGAGGAGGAGGAGGAGGAGGAGGAGGAGGAGGAGGAGAAGAAGAAGAAGAAGAAGTAATCTATGTATAATCAATTCTAAGCACACCTCATCTGACATTTGGCACAAATAACATACCATGATCTGGCAAATGAAGTTCCTTACAACTGCCCTAAGTGAGATAGGCAAAAACATTCATTAATAAATAATTGATGATAGTTCATTGGAATCTCAAAGTAATTCTCACATCATTGGTCGTCTTTGATTAAAAAGTATTTCCTCTATAATAGAGCTTGTAATGACCTCCTTCATCTCTTTTGATTGATTTTATTTTAAAGTCTAGTTTGTTAGATATTAAAGTCAAGTCCTTCTCAGAATTGTTATTTGGAGAGAAAATTAAATTTTTAATTAAAATATTTTCAGAATTCACATTATAATAATAATACATGTACTAAAACACATTATATTATATGTCAGAGAATACACACTGAAAACTAAAGTTTTGTTAGGTCATTATAAATTGTTGGATTACATTTTTAAAGAAAATATAGGACATTACATAGTATATTTATTATGTTTCAGTAACAAATACATCTCTAGAACTTTTTAATTGATATTTATTTTAAGTTTAAGGAAACAGCTTTATTTGATAACACTCAAATATTAAGAAATAGTCTACGAAATCCAAGCATTTAAATATATACTATAAATATATACATTAACAAATAAAATGCTGAATGCATTATGATCAACAGTGTGAAAAGCAGACCACTTTCACACCATTTTGTATTTGATTTAATCCTTACATTTTGGTTCAATTTTTCTTATAAATACATGACCAACATTCCTATACTCTTAAGAATTTTATTGAAAAAAATATTATTGCATTGAACTACAGTCCAAGTAGTTTATTGAATAACCTAAAAAAAAGCTGCTTTGCATGTACAATAGTGCAATTTACTTAGCCACAGTATAATCAAAATTGCTTTGAACAGAGAATACAGAATTAATTGACTGGCTTAGACCATATTTCAGACCATCATTCAGTTTCACTTAAATTAATTACCATAGGATTCAATAAGCTGGAACTTACTAAAGACAGAGACACAACCAATTTACATTTTGACTACTTTAAAATTTCTGACACATTAATGTAAATGACCATTTTGCACAGGATTAGAAATCTTTTCTTGACGTTCATTGTCTCAATATGTGACTTTTTGAAAAAAAAAAGAACACACTCTAATAAACGTTCTATTTTAAACAAAGATTAAGGTTTGCAACTTAAGAATAAAGAATATATTAAGAGCACACAAACAAGTGCACATATGCATTCATACATACTACTTTTATTTCTGACTTCCTGGCTTTTGTTTGCTTGTCTCTGGCAAGGTGTTCTTGTTCTTGATATTTAAGAGAGGTGTAAGTTGCAAAAGTAAGAAGCAACTTGGAAAAAGGAATTTTAAAAATTGGGTTGGAAGAGTTTCCTCTTGTGTTTAACTTCAGAGAATGAAAAAGACCCCCTTAGCTTATGTCATCTATTGACTTATTCTAAACCTAACCTTTTGGCCACTGCTCCCATTTTTAGTAAAGCTTAAGTCCCCCACAGCATAATACCCATCATCAACTACCTAATAGAGGAAGTAGCTAATGTTTTTTGCTAGAATGGAATGATAACCTTTGAAAATCCTCTGACCTATGCTTCCTAGCAGGGACAACTCCAGTTTCAAACTCTCATCTTATTGCATTGGTTCCTGTCTGTGACACAAAGGGCAACCGTGTGTTTCCTTGGTACCGGGATGAAGTTGCTACCAACTTATTTTAACAATGTCTGTCCATGAATGAGAGCAAATTCTGATTTAGGAGTCAATCCTATTAAAGAAGCCTAACTTAAGCCTCTGCTTTGTTGAGGCAGAGAATAATGAGACCACTTTCACACTTAAGCAGACTAGCTATATACACAGACATGTGAGATACTGGTCTTTAAATTTTGGCTTTAGAAAGCTAAAGCTGATATGTCCATTTTCTTCAGAATATTAAACAATCATCCTCCAAAATCATAGAGAATATTTTTAAGAAAAATGTACAGTTGTACTATACTTTTATACCATTATCAATGCAATCCCTGCAAACCTCATAGAAGCATCCTGGGAAGGTGTTTCTTATATTTTCATATAGAATCCTGAAATATTGCAGTATTCCTGTTTGCAGACCAACTTAATATCTACAGTTACTAATTTGAAGGCTTGAAGAACGTGATGTATTCAAATAAAAACTTCAAAGTATTATTCAAATTTTAGAAACTTCCGTGTTTCCGTCCTTGTTTCTATAGAAAAACTTCATGCAAGAAGACACTGAGGCCTTGCAATATGATTGGTCCTGGCTAATCTGGTAATTAAAAATTCCGTTTAATGAGAAATTTTTGAAGGACTCTTTCTTTTTAAATGTGTCTCCTCCCAATGATAAGAGAGATTCCATGAAGACCTAACAGCCTGAAAAAGCAGGCACCATCAAACCCATTTTCTGTGAGATAGATATTTCAGATCATTCTGAAATGTTTTCCTACAAGGTGATGGGGGAATCAAAGTCTCGGAATTAGGAACTTTGTAAATCATTCTCCACTGTCGAATTAAATCTCATATTTCATTGCTTATAACTTGTACAAAGGTGAACATAAAAGTCAGAGAACAGATTTTATAGCCACATTGCCTTTTTTTCTTCAAACTTCTGATAGTGATTAAGAAAATGGTCTTTACTCATTGTTAGTACATCACACAAAGTGCTCACTTTCTTTTATCATCTCTGAATTCATTGAGGCATATGATGGTGGAATGACTCTGAATATTTAGAGACAGAATAGACACATGTGTGTTCATGGGCCACATGTGAACATATATATATATATATATATATATATATATATATATGTATATGTGTGTGTGTGTGTGTATGTAAATACTTTGCAGCCATTCTCAACAGAATTTATCTTTAATTTAATCTTGCTTCTTGGAAAAATACACAAAAAGGCCCAATGACTAAGTGTAAAGAGTGAACTCACAAAAATCTATTCCACAGATTTATCATGTAATAGAAAATTGCTCAAATCAATTATCAAATAATTTGACGGATGTGGTGCTCAAAGTATGATCCATAAGACTGTGTTTTAATGGCTCTAATTTAGAATTCAGAATATTCTTAGACTTCTTTCTGTTTATGTTTTTAAGGATGCATTCCTTAAAAATGGAAACAGAAAGTGTCATGACTGCTGTACCTTCCCCTGATGTGATGTTACAGGTTTTATGACTTGTCACATTGGAATACAAGTTATTTTTGTTAGGTGTCAATGCCCTTTTTCCATTGTATGAGGTGGAATATCCACTGAGCACTTTCATCATTCTCCTGCAAGATGGAACAGTCATTTCCAAACTATCCACTTACATTGATATATCTAAGTGCCCAGTAGAAAGGTTCCCTGATTTAGCTTTTTGAGATTCTTGATGGTCTCCAAGGCAATTTAAGTATCAATCAGATGTTCTGTCTTGCTGTAATGAGCTCTCTATTTACTATTCAGAATCACTCTGTCTTGGCCTTTGGGCCATGTTTATAATTCTATTGAGAAACTAATTATCCACAATATATTTTGATTTGGGGAGGTTATTTCCTATATTTGTAGTAGTATTTCAACTTTTTTCTTCTTAGGATATTTTACCCAAAATGCAATAACTTTAACAGTTACTTTTGTGGAATTATATGCAAGTATGGGCTTTCTTGCTGTTTGATAGGTGTCTTTCTTTTTATTCATTTTATTTTACATAGGGCAGACTCTGCCCCTTCTATATTCCAATAAATGGGCCAATAAACAAATGTTTGATGTTACTTTGGTAAGTACATTTCTTCTTTATGTTAACCTTTCAGATTTATTTATTTATTTCCTTTTTTCCTCATGCTGTCTCTTTAGGAGAAAATTAGTGTCTTTCTACCATACACGAAAAACAGCTGTTTAATTTTTCAACTGCATTGATGACATGAAGAATGATAATATTGAACTCTGCAGATGTGAGGAATAGGATAAAGTGGACTAAGTGCTTCACTTGCCTGCAGTGAAATGCATGCATTTGGAGAATGCAGATGCCTTCCTCCAGAGCTGAGTAAGTGTTGCTCTTTCCACCATTGTGTTTGAGGTTACATCTTCACCTCATTGTCAGATAGTGGCCACATTCTCCTCTGTCAATGTCACTTTTCAGAAACCCATAGATACAGGAGATGTAATACTTTCATAACTATAAGGATATTAAATTATACACCAAATATATGACCATTCACATATAATACAAGAAGTGAAAATTCTATAGGCCAGGAAGTCTTTTGAATTAATATTTGCAATCACATGGAGGATAACTTGGTTTACCTTCATAAAATTTATCATTTCTAAGTCTCATGTTTCTTATTCCTGAACACAATGAAGTTTCTGAGTTTTAAAGAAAACTTAACTTTTTTAGTTCTTATATTTGAAACAATTATCAATATGTGTAAAATGTTATTGTATGGATATTTTACTTTGAATTATCAAATAATAATAATAATATCTTTTGTATACATTCTGATACAAAATTTAAACATTATTAATTCCTGATGCTATTGATTAATAAAAGGTGATCTTGATATAGTTACATATGTAGTGAAGCAAAATGATCTTTTACAGAATTTCAAGAATTGTAAAGTTACTTTGTGTAGTTGTTTTCAGCTTCTGTAAATCAGAATATATCTTAGATTCTAAGAAAGCTATGTAAAAAGAAATTATCCTTAATCATTGGTTCATTTTAATATTATCTGAAAAATGAAGCTGAAATTCATATTCATTCACCACTCACTCATCAAACACTTCAAACATAGGGTATTCTATTTTTCCTTCATATTTGTCATGTTCCAGAGTGTTTTCTTTTACCAGTTTCATCATTCATTGATGACATATCATAAACCATGCTTTAATACTTCCTAACATTCCTTCCCAGAAAATTATTTTAATTTGATGTATTATTTTTGCCAGAACATGTTCTAAAAATTCTCCCATTTCTATTATGATAATTAAGTTTATATTTATGTATGAATTACATTTGGACTTGGCACCGTTATTTTAAACCTTGTAGTAATGGGGGAGATGGTGTTAATGCATTGTTTTGCAGGTAGAGACAGTTCGTGTTATTTATTCATAAGACGAGTTGTCATAACGATTAGTTCAAGTGTACCGACATATTTAAGGCCTCTTTCACACTATTTAACTGTTGCATCTGGTTGGAACAAGAGTGATGACAAAGATCTTGTCCTTGTAGCACTGGTTGGATTAAAGGATTCAAATGGAAGATAGAAGTTGTGGCTGGATTGAAATGAGGACCAAACAATGTGGGGATAAACGCTGTAGGAGGCAGTGTCTGAAATGCTACATGTGATGAATGGAAGGGGGCAGCGGTAACTAACTGCAGTGGATGTCCTAGGAAAGTAGGGTGTGCAGGGATGATGGTTGGAGCCACGGCTGAAAATGAAATAGGAGTGAAATGTGGTTGTGACAGTGGGTGCAGATGAGCTATAGGGAGGGGGCTGCTGTGGGAGCTTATGGAAGCAGAAACAGCAAAATGCTGTAGGAATGTGTGGTGGATGGTGGTGATGGATGTGTGCTGGTGGACAGGAACTGTCTGCACAGCTGAGGGCGGAGAGAAGACAGTGGGCCCCGCAGCAGGCAATACGCGGAGATGCTTTGACAGGAGCTGTTTCTGCATGTGCTGCTGGGCTTGTAGCTGGAGAAGCTTGTACTTATCTATTTCATCAGGAGAAAATGTTATTGGCTGTTGAATTAAAGGTGGGGAGAGAGATTTATGACACACTTCTAACTCATCTTCCACTTTGTCATGCTTCTGCATAGTCCTGTCACTGTAAGAGTTTATATTCCCCTCTACATGATTCATAGACATGCTTACATCTTGTAAGTCTTGATTTATCTGGTCCTCTTTGGTCTCTGTTACACCAGTATATCTATTAGATGGAAAAGCACCAAGGAAATCATTTGGTACTGGGTCACAGCTTCCAAAAAAAGGCTGGCCTTCACTAATTGAAGATTCAGATTGTTCTTTTGTTGTCTGGCTCTCTTTTCTGCTTAAAGTCTGAGAGTTCATTACTGGATTCGTGCCTTTGGAGAGATAGTTATCACATTCAGTGTCTGTTAAAATAGTAAAATTATTTCTTTGTGAGCTTTTCATTTTGTCTTTGTCAAAAGACTTGTGAATCTTATTGCCCCTGTCATTTGTTCTTTTGCCCATTTGTTGTGTCTTCTCTGAAAAAGGCAATGTTGTTCTGTTATAGCTTGGTGATCCAGGCTGAAGTGTGTGTGAGATTTGTGAATGGGTGTTTGAATGTTTTAGATCACTCTTTGAAGAGACCTCAAGCTTAGTTAATTTCTCCTGACACTTCTTGGCTTTTACTCTTTCTAAAAGACCCTTGGCTGTCAGGGAAGGACCTTCTCCAGCTGGAAATTTTGATTGTGTGGATTCTGAAGGGCCAGCTACACAGTTCCTTAAAAGGTAGTTGAGACTGCCCAAGTTGCATTGTCTGCACCTGACTTTTTCCACATCACAAAGGTGAAGGCTGGCCAAAGACTTTTGGCTTCTCTTGTTTTTATTTAAACAGTATGCTCTCCGTCTCAAATAGGATCCTGATTTGCTGTGCTGAGGTCCTAGGCCATTAAACTGCTTTTCACTATTTTCGTCAAGGGACATCTGTGAACTGGAATCACAGTGGAAAGTTCTCATTGGTTTGGTCCCTGCAAATTGTTGATTTTTACCCAATTTATATCTTTCTTTACAGTGACAGTTTCTGTGTTTTGACTGTTTTTTACTTTTCAGTGAGTCCCATGATTTATCATTCCTGTCCCTCTGAGTTTCTGACTGGGGACACTGACTGCTTATTGGCACATCAGACAAGTAGAGGCACTTGTGCTTCCTGTGTTTCCACATGTGCCTTTCAATTGAGTCACATTCTGTTTTACAAACGTAGAGCAAATGACTGCTGCCCCTGCCATTGGACCGATGACTAGAACACATGTTTCTCCAGCTGGACATGTTTCTGGGAGACTCATCCCAAGTTCTGGGATGGTCACTCAGAGGTGGCTTTGGAGAACATCTGTCATAACTTTGTTTGCCACTTGGAGACACTCTGCTGGCCAGGCTGATATTGCAGTGAGTTAAACTCTCAGTGATATCTTTCCTGTATTCAACTTGACCCTCTGATGTATGAGGACTCAAATTCCAGCTACATTGGTTTTCTTCTTCAAACTCTGAACATGGACTGCAGGGATTCAGTTTATGCTTTTTAGTCCTAGAGATGTGAGGAGAGCATGAAAGACCCTCCTGAGCATTGTGTAGAATTGCCCCTTTGCAGCCTTGCCAGTGGACATTTGAAGGTTCCTTAAATTCAATACCACAAGCATTATCCTTCCTTATGCCATCCTTTAGAGACAGATTAAGGTAAGCAGGCACTTCAGGACTTCTCATTTCCAAGTCTCTTAGACTATCATGCTCACTCATGCTAGAACCAGAATCATTGTAGCCCAAATTATATTTGTTCTGGAACTTTTCCCAATCTGGGTTAGCTATAATCATCCTTGGCTTTAGAGATTGATTATCTTGGGTCATTTTTTGTTGTTCGTTAATTAAACCTGAGACTTGGCTCTCTGTCTTTGGTTTCACTTCCAAAGCCTCATTCTCCAGTTCTCTTCTTACACTCTCTGAATTATGTTCATCCTTTGTGTTTCGTGAAAGTTTGAAATCAAAATATAATGGATTACAGCCATATGATATGCACGGTTCTGTTCTGGTAAAGAACAGAAGTTCTGTAGGCCACTGTAGAGTGGTGTGGCCATCCTTGCTCTGCACATGGAGAAAGGGCAATGGTTTGGATTTTAGATCATGTGGACAACCTTCTGTGCAAAGTCTTCGTACATCGTCGTTAACTCTTTCTGCTTCATCTAAGGACTTCACTCTGTCTTCCTTTGTGGAGTTAGAATTCAGATGTGCTCTCATCTTCTGTTCCCTTGGCCCAGAAGGCAGAAACTCATCCAGACTTTCACACCAACTGTTGTCACTGTGCTTGCAAATGTTTAGTGGAGTGGTGGATTCATTTGTTTGGCATGGGTGTTTAATGCAGTTTTCTGAAGTGTCCTTCAATGTGTTTCTAATTTCTTTCTCTCTGCTGGAAAGAGTAAAATCTCTTTCAGAAAGATGGAGGTTAGACCTAGACAAAGAAGCATGAATGCCTGATGAATCTTTCAGTCTCTCATTTTTGTTTTGTGACATTTTGGAGTTCATCGAGAAGGTGCTGTTCAAAACACATTCCAGATGGCTTGGTGAGATGATGCCTCTTTCCTTAGCAAGGTGTGGATCGTCATTTGCAAAGCTGCAACACATGCATTTCTCAACTGTGTGTTTAGCTTTATAGGTGGGTGACTTGTTACAATCATGGGTGTCTTCTGTGTTCTCGCTGAAAACAGAGGCTGAGGATTCTAGTTTTAGATAGGCTTTTTTTGAAAATGAAAAGGAAACTCCTGTCCTGTGGTTTGCATTGCTGACATCTGAAGATGTTTGTGTCATCTTGTTTCCAAACAGGTACCGTCTATCTGACTGTAGATATTGTCTGTTGGGTGGGGCAAATCGCTGCTTATCCGTGGTGCTTCTGGAGAGGTTCTTTCCCTTGAGGAGAAGGGTGCTCTTCATGCAGGAGACCTTTCTGCTATTCCTAACTGGGAAAATTCCCTGCTGGAGCTGCTTTTCCATGGCTATCCTGGGGGCTTTGTATGCTGGTCCATTTCCAGAAACACTGTAAATAATGAAATGAGTATCATATTAGTATTTGAGTGAAATCTATGTGCACATAACATTATATAGTATTTCTACAGTGAGATTTTTTCTATTTGCTGATGAATGTTATTTTCTACAAAACAACAATTTTATCATGCACATAAAGTCTCTTAACTGCTATATAACTATACTGAAATATTGTATTTAATTCTGATACTTAGAAATGTAAAAAGCAATAACAAGTGACTATTTTATATGAAAGCTGCAAAACAAAATAAAATAGAGCACTTACATGACAATATATTCTTAGAACCTATGATCTTTGAAAATACAGAGTTAACATGTTTCCTAGACTTCTAGCTAGTACCTTCATATTCCGTAAGAAATTAAGATTTGCAAAGTATAAAAACAGTTTCAATTTTATTTCTCAGCCTCTTTAAAACTCAGTATTTAACTCTACAACACCAAAAGTCCTTTCCATTTACTTCTGTTGAAGCAAGGTGTTTAATAATTACTTTTTGTCAATAGCTAATGAGTACAGTAGCAAGTAGCTGATGTTTTCAAGCAGGCTTAGTGTTCCCAGGGACTTTGAAGAGTTTCTCTTGCTTCTTACTCATCAGAAAAAAACTTTATGCCAATTGTGCATTCTCTGTCTTTTGAGGTTTTTCAAGATTGTTGATTTTGCTGAAGTTCATTAATGATTCAAACAGCAAGCAGAAAATAAACATAGGTAGACAGAAACGTTTAGGATAAAATTAGTCTTTTCATACCCTGTTACCTATTTCCTACAGTGGTGCTAATGCTGACTGAGGAAAAGCAACACTACTACATCACTTTTGAATCTGCTTATTTGAAACGCCATTCTGTTGCTTATTCTTGTACCATGTGCACAGACAGATATCTAACTGTTGTTTTCTCTCTTAGATTTTCATTATTACCCATCATTTGTTTCTCGTCTATAAAATATTAAAAATCATGTACTTAAAACATATCACTTAAATTGTGAAGGACTTAACTTTATTTTCAATACCTATCCTGATAACCCACACTAAAGTGTAGCCCTCAGTCTACCTTAAAGAACCTTCTTTTTGTAATGGATGGAGACTATTACATAAATCCACACCTGGTAAAAGTTAGTGCCTGTGGGATACTGATATCAACTTAATACAGCCACAATATATCACCTACACTCAGGGAAAAATCATAGAAGAGGAAGTATATTGCAAGAACCAGAGGATCAGGGCAGCTGCTGTGGGATACTGTTTTCAAGACATGATAGAGAAAATGTTTCCATGGAATCTTAACAATATGGCTGTGTACATAAGCTCTGTATAATAACACCAGTTGACATGCCACATGAATAGGGAAGATTTCACAAGATTCCACCATGGATGAGGAGATACAGGCAATCAATGACTTCTGACTGGGAGAGAATAAGTTTTCTGAAAGGAAAACTTCACTGAAGTATTATCCAATACTAAGCCATCGACCCTAAACATAAGTATAGAGGAATAATAATTAATGGAGTCAGCATTCATATTAAGACTCTACTGCCTATAATCTTTTGATTTACCTGAGGATACTTTATTTGAATTTTACTTTAGTGACTCCATTTCATTTTTACAATATTACAACCTGTTATTTTCTCTGCCTTATGATTTTAAGTTGCAAACAATAGTTTTAGTTACTATTTATTTCACAATTATTTGAGATTAACTGTTTTCATTAATGGATGGGTAAAGCTTTATAAGTATAGTATATCCCATTATTGGATGGTAGTCAAATTTAGGAATTTTATAAAACTTTTTAAAAGATTGTTCCATTATGAAACACATTATTCTGTCACAATAACCTGCTTGCTTTGGCAATCTCATCACGTTTTTCAAAAAGGCATATTAATATCATTAATTTGAAGAAGTATGTAAACACAATGTGTGAGCTATTGAATGCTATTCACACCCAAATAAAAGGACTGAAGAGTTTTATTGAAATGTTATTGAAACCTGGGTACACAAAGACAAGAAACAATAACATTGTCACTCTGAATTTTGTCTTGGTGACAGGTAGATATGTTGTCACAATTGCACCATTATTTTGGATTAAGCAGCATCTACACTACTTAATCCGTAAGTTTGCTTTGTCTGGGAAAATCAATCAGTTTTATCTCACTGATACTATATTCAACAGAAAATATTAAAATTCAAATGTGAGAATATTAGCATTTCTTCTTCCAGGTTACAATAAAACATAGATAGTTTAGTATTTATAAATTGTGTATAGTTTAATTTTAAAATACAAATTTAGTTATTTACTTATGTGAGTATATGTATGTAGGTTAATTCAATGGTGTAAATGGGCATGTCAAATAGGTATAAGCATAAGTGTGAAATTGTTTCTATAATAGAACTCATTGACACATTTACCACAACACATAATTACCTAAGTATGTGCTAAAAACAACTCAAGATCATCCATCTCAGCAAATTTCTAGTAAAGACTAAAAGACCACAATAATGATTACTGTGTATTATCTCTAGGCTCTACATTAGATCTCAAGAATTCATATGAGTGTGGGTTGAGTTTCAGTTTCCCATTCCTCTAGTCCCTAGCAGTGAATGTTCCCACTTTTGTAATTTTTCATAGTTATTACATTTGTTCCTTCATTTTTATCATGCATAAAATTGTACCAAAATAGAATGGGGTGTGTGTGTGAGAGAGAGAGAGAGTGTGTGTGTGTGTGTGTGTGTGTGTGTTATTTGGTTCTTTTATGAGGAACTTCTGCTTTCAGAATCAAAATCACTAACATTTTTCAATTTTGCAAAAATACCCATTAAGTTGTATTGTTTTTATATCTTTACATAGATGTTTCCATTCAATAAGTGAGTAATTCCTAATGCAATAGATGTTTTCACTGGAGACCCTAGCTGAGTGAAGATCAAAGTTGGTTGCCCTATACGAAACTCATAGGCAGCTTTCTTCCAGTATTTGCTTATCTGTTGGATTCAAGTATTCTTACTACCAGTAATTCACCTTTCTTTTCTACATGAATAATCTGCCACTAACTCACGTTTCTTTCCACATGAAGAATCATGTTATATTTAGATTATTCTACACAGACATCATCCATTCCTACAAGGTTAATTGTAAAATATGGGAAGTCAGATGTTACCAAGTACAGCAAGATAGAGCACAGAAAGAAACACAAAGTACTCATGAAAAGCCTTCACAGCAGTGCCAGATTTGCTGTGCTTTTCAGCAAATGTGAGTAGGGCTAATGGACCAAAGGCACGTTGTCCAGGAAAGGAGCCATGATTCTTTTTTTTTCTTCTGGTTATACGAGACAGGGTTTCTCTGTATTGTTTTGGAGGCTGTCGGTCCAGCCAGGGCTCAAACTCACAGAGATCCGCCTGCCTCTGCCTCCCTAGTGCTGGGATTAAAGTGGTGTGCCACCATTGCCCGGCATAGGAGCCATGATTCTTTTAACTGTCGTTTTATTTTAAATTTTTATGTATCACTTATGCTGCAACACAGGTAATATTTTATAACTCTAAGTGACTCCTATTCATCCATGAGGCTGCTTAAGAAAATAGAGAATTTGAGGAATAACAGAAAGGAAGAAAGAATCTGCATGCTTTGAAATTCTGTGTCTAGAAAGCTGAACACTCATCTTTTCCGGCAGGGCACATGGTGACCTATAGAATGGGTACATTTGAGTGTGTTTGGTACAGAAGCCCCCCCAATACCAAAAATTAATAGATCAAACATTTTATTAAGGAAGACCTTTAGCAACACATCATCGTCATTACTGTTGTATCATCCATGAGACCATCATCTCCTCACTGCCACAATCATCAAGATTCCCCTGATCCTTTCTCATTCTTTCGATCAGGGACAGGGATGGAGCTGTGTAGTCATTGTCTTAGTAAAGACAACTCAGACTTGATGCTGAACAAGACAAATCTGGTCTGGCCTGGGAAGAGTTTTCTGATGATGTCTTTCTTCCCCATGTATTATTACTTGATTTACTGTGTCCTGTAACTAATCATGCAGGAACTGAGGTGTGATCTACATGTTTTCCTGTATGCTACACTAATGAACACAGAACTCAGGCTCTCACGCCCTGTTTCAGCAGGTCAGACTTGTTATTAATACTATTGCATTGTTATGAGTTCCACATTGAATAGACTGGTAAACAGTCAGTGACCAACATAATGTCCATGTTTCTGATTGTGTTGGCCCTTACAGAAGAATCTCTTTACATTAACTTTATTTCTGTATACATACAGTGCAGTACCTTTCCACTTTTATCTTACATTTAAAATTTTTAGTGTTATTATACATTTGATGTTAACATATTATGAATACTGTATATACGTAAATACTGTAAATTGGCACTGCCACTATTTACTGGAATGACTAGCCAAAGTCATAAGTATTTTTTAATGATCACATTTTGAAGTTTAATATTTTATGGTAATATAACTAAACCATTCACTCTTGTGATTTTATATTGTTTTCTATTTAAGCAACAGGAATTTAAATTCTGTCAGAGCTTTAAATTCATAATTCACCAGGTTGCCATCAACTATACTAATTACTTATGTTACTTTTATACACTATGATTCATATTGTCACAATTCACAATCTGCAAAGTTAATTGCATTACGGGTAACAACTTTGAATCATTCAGTGCCAGCAAGCTCTTTTAAAACTGTCTGTTTTTAGTTACAAGTACGTATTGGTGTAGTGCTTGTTACGGTATAATTATCAATTAAAATGGTGCTATGCAGTAAATTTAACCACATTAACTATATTTTGTTTGTCTGCCAGACAATGTTAGTGTCATTTATTCTAGAGTCAAGTGTGACCAAGGTAATATACAGGACATGTATTTTCTGCCCTAAAGGTTCATTGTTATTTATAGCTTTAAAAATTATCATTGTAGATATCTGAGGTTTGCCAGACATGATGTCAAAGTTTCATACATGAATACACATGAGATAGAACTGCCTGCAGAATGTGCATAAAATCAAGCCAGCCTGATTCACAGCATGGATTGGGGAGCGGCTCATGAGGCTTCACCCCTATCTAAGGAGCTATTAGCAACTGATGTGTGCTGGGAAAGGAAGAATCAGATTTCTTCAAGGATATGGGTCCTATGAGGATACCCATCCTTTCCAGTAAATGAAAAAACATTCCCACATGCATGTACAAACAGGCAGCACTATAGAGTAAGTATTTAAATATAGATGTTCATGAACAGAGGGAACATACAAAATTGGTAAGGAAAAGTGATGGGGGAGAGAGGAACTGGAGGGGAGGGAATGGAGGTTGGATCTGATCTAATGTATTAAACTATAAACATATATGCATGTATGAATATTAAATAAAATACTTTAAAAATGATCATGATAAAATGTCCAGCAAAAACAGATGACAGTTAATGAGAATTGTTTCCTGAGTCACTTCATTAAATAGGGTCATTAACTGACAGCACTGGCCAGAAAAAAAAGTCAAATGACAAATTAATAATTTACAAACCATTAGCAATTAAAATGTTGCCTTCCGGCATATTTGTTGATTAATGTTAACTTTATATTGTTACAGAGAAGCTTGTAGAGTCATTACTGAAATTTTCCTGGAGCTTGGAAAAGCATTCTGGACCATCCAATCCCTCTACTTCTTACCATTCAGATTGCTGCCTCAGCTCAGCCAGCTGATGGAGTCGCTTAAGTGCTTTTTCTTGTTTCTTCTCATCTTTCCATGACTTGGAAGCTACATTTCGAGCAAATTCTCGTTGCTTTAATTCTTTCAGTCTCTAGATAAAAGAATAAAATGAAAAGGATGCTATAAATAAGTAAAACATTCTTTTCTGTCTATAAGAGTTATAATAAACCTGGTCCTGCATGCAAAGGTGTCTTTTGGGAGACGGAGAGTAAGAGCATTTCCTCCAATATTTTTCTCTGCTCCAAGACAATCTTAGTAGATGCATGTACTTGTCAACTAGGTCAAAACTTCTCAAAGCCGACCTCAGAATGTGCTGCAAAGCTGGGACCCAGTCCTTGGTGGAATCATCCTGGCCATGCAACTCACACTTGTGACTGTGAGAATCAAAAAACAAAATTATGTGCCATCTGCAAAGGGAAAAAAGGCCAGAGCTTAAGCTTTCTTACATAGTTCCTCCCTATAAAGATGCTCTTGATTAAATAAACTGAGGGGAATGAAAGTCTCCTGGTACATTGTTTCTATTACCAAATGCCATTTCTAAGTGGGATTTTAAATTCAGTTTTAGTTGAAGATATATACAAAATGCCACACAGGATGCAAAGAAACGGTAAACAATTTCAACTTAGAATAGTAGTTTAGCCTTTCTTTATTTAAATTAACCTGATTGGCGATTATTCTCTAAAACAATTGGTTTATAGCCAGATTTGATGCTTCTTTTACCCTGTTTGTATCTCTTCTTCAGAAACTAAGACACAGCACATGGACCAACATTGAATATACTGGGGAACAGATACCATCAAATGAGCACCTTGAAGCTTGGGGCTTAATGTGGAATTGAGAGTGTACTTAAAGACTAGCCTCTCTTGACTCACACAAGATGTTAAATAGAATAAAATATGTATCTATTTTTAGTTTTCCATATCAGATATAAAGGTCTTGCTGAGGTAAGGAAAAATTTACAAGTTATCATTAATCTTGTAACAGAGTATTTCCTACACATAAAGTAAAGACCAAACTCTTTAATGACCATTAACTCCATTCTTGAAAGGAACATCATTATGAAAGATGGTGGCCAGGTAACCAGTCTACACCTGGATGCTTAAAGGAGGTAGACCAGCATTTCTAAAGGACAATAATCTGAGTGCATGAAACAAAAATGTCATGGAACTGCGTAATAATCACTGGGAACACAGAAGATTCAATTTGAATTCACTTTTCATAAATACTTCGGATATTTCTTGAAAAAAAAAGGAAAGAGACGGAGAAAAGAAAAAAAGCATCAAATATTGAGGTATGCCCTTTCTTTTCAAAAAAGAAAAGACAATAACAAAAAAGATCACTAGTTGGATAGTGCAACTTAGCATCAGGATGTGACCATGAATGAAATGATAGCTTTGGTTGGTCAGAAGTAGAAAATGAAGTTTCTAAGATCCATATATCTGATATTTATACTTCCTCAGACTCCATGTGAATACTTGCCTGATGAGTAAACAGTCTTGAACATTATCTTGCATATAATAAAAGAATATGTGATATGCAATTTAACTGTGTTGCAGATTGAAACTGGGTATTTTCAGTGAAAATGGATCTTTTCCTCTTGGTTAATAGATGTAATCAAATACTCCACAATTATTCAACATTTGGTATTAGTAGCACATAAAATTAGTCTAATTGAGGAAGTTGATTTATTTATTAATAATTTATCCCTCAAGATTAGAAAAGTATTTGAAACTTGGTGTATATTTGTTTCTTCAATTAGTTCCAATATCCTAGGAATCTTCTATTTCTTAGTTAGAGAGATTATCATGTTTTCATTTAGTCTCAACTTTTAATAAAGAATTGCTATAAGCTACTCTTATGGAGTAGAGATTGCATGAATCAATTATTTTCCTTTTCACAAAGACCCACATTACTTACAAGAAAATGGACAATCTCTTAATTTTAAATAGCACACAAAACACACTTTAGAAATTCACAAGAATTATTAAGAATGTTCTTTTGTTTTGAAAGTCATAAAAGTGAAATATTTTTGTAGGAAAAAAAATGAAACAAAAATGCTCTATAATATCAGCTCCACAAGATGGAATCAATACATGACACCTTTACTGAAGTCAAGAACCTGTGGCTAGATAGATAGGCCCTAGGAAGAATTTACTACTATTCTGCTAAGTAGATGTAGTATTTGTTGTTAAATATCTAACAAGACACAAACTGTGGGTCAACAGTCCCACGTAGAGTTTATTGGTAGACAGGGAAGGAAGGGGGTGAGAAGGAACCAACCCGGGCAGAGCAGAGAGACAGTGAGAGAGGAGAGAGATAAGAGAAATAAGATAAGGAGAGAGAGCACGACCACATGGAGGTGGTCCCTTAAAAGGGGAAGCTTGAACATACATACTGAGTCATTATGCAGTCTTGTAATGAGTGACATAGTGATGATGTGGCCACACCAATGTGTGTGCTCTGTCTGTCATAAGGGGGGGCAGGGTCAGTGCAATGCAAAAATTCCTACAATCGCACCTCTCATGATCATTGAAAAGGTGGGTTGTTGGGCATGGCAAATCAGGGAATAAGGGCTTTGAATTTCTCAAGTCTGTTTCCTGCTTGTTTGGGGGGTGCCGACCATCTTTGAGGGACCTGACAAAGCTGAGGTGTTAACACGTCCAGAGTAGTTGGTTGCTCCATTGCAGTCCTGGTTGTTTGGAACTCTCTGGTATCTCTGTATATCTGGCAAGATGTTAGCATAATAGAGGACAAAGTTAGGTTCAAAAAATTTTTCTTAGGTCCTGGTATTTGAGGGGGAAGATTGTCAGATGAGGCAGGCATTCTTGAGGGGTCCCAAGATGAGGCGAGGGAATCCCAGGACCAAGGGGAGGTTGAGTAATATCTGATTCTGTACAGCCTTGACAGCAATAGAACAATCAGCTAATAAGCTATTAATCCAATTCTAACAGAGTACTAAATACCAAACAATGCCACCACTTTATGGTGTTTTTTTTTCATGTTAAAAATATCTGTTAGTTTTAAATGTTAATGTTTTCAGTCAAGTCACTTCTAACATAATTATGCTGCTAATGTGTCTAATACTTGTGTTTTCACAAACTCAAAGAATTCTTGAAAGTTTCAAGAATCCAAATTGGACACATCCAAACAGGTAAGATCCAATCTAAATATTAATCAACCTCTCCCTTGTCCCAGGATTCCCTTCCCTCAACTTGGGAGCCCTCAAGAACCCTTCCATCATCTTACAATCTTCCCCTCAAACAAAGGACCTAGGAAAAAATATTTTAACCTAACTTTGTCCTCCAATCTGCTAACATCCAAACAGATCTACAGAGGTGCCAGAGAGTTCCATACAGCCTGGATTGCGATGGAGCAACCAGCTACCCTGGATTTGGCAACACCCCAACTTTCTCAAGTCCCCCAAAGATGGTTGACATTCCTCAGGTCAGCAAGAAGCAGTCTTGAGAACTCCTGACACCCTTATTTCCTTATTTGCCACACCCAACAACTCACCTTTCTAATAAGCACAAGAGGTAAGAAATTAAGTTGTATGGATAGGAAGTTTGGGGATTGAGACTAATATGTTTAAAAACACATTATATGAAACTTTCAAAGAATAAATAAAATATTACTTAAAACAATTTTCAGGGTAATATTGAGACAGATCCCTATATCAAAAATTCCTTGTTATGGACAGGTAAAATATAGATTTATTCAGACATATAAAGCTGAAAGAATGCATCACCTTTACACAAAATAAGAAGTGATAAGCAGTATCATGAAGTAAAAATGAAAATGATATCAGAAACATTACTCCAAAGTCCAAACTAAAGGAAAGGCACTGTAGTGATATAATAATATTCCTGTTATGCTTTCTATGATTGATACTGCTTGGTTTTGAGGTTTACAGGAATTATATAAATAAAATGAGTAGCAATGGCATTGAGCTTGGGAGGGGTAAAATGTCAATATACTGTTGAATGGTTCTTCCTTATGTATGAAGCAATATATTACTAGTCATATGTAGACTGTTAAAGAAATACACTATAAATTATGTAACAACTGTTGAACTGATAAATTGTTTTTACGAAATTGACCAAAAAGGAGATATAAAAGAATGACTAAATTTATTTAATTCAAAAAAGAGAAAAATAATAAATAGAAAGCAAAACAAATGGAATAATTGTGTCAGGGCCTGAATATGATGTTTGGGTCCAGGCCTCAGCTCAGTTCCAGGAGCTTGAATCACCTATTGTGTTTTAGATTTCAGCTGGTTACCTGAGGATGGCCTGGCCACAGTGGAGAAAGACTTCGAGTTTGCATAACAATAGACCTAGGCCCCTGTACCCATCATGGGGGCCAGTGAGACACACCTGAAGACTCATGAGACATGTGTTAAGGGAGGTCTGAGGGTTTGTGTATGTGCATTCTAGAACCATCTCTAGGGTTAAAGGAGGTGTTTCCTACTCATATCTATCTATATATATATATGATAATAGATTTCTCCTGCCAGTATCCCCACTTTTAGAAAGCTATTTAAGAGGATGCTTGAATAAACCAGTGTCTCTAGTATGGACTGAGAGCCCTCCTGAAATGACAAGCTGTCTCTGTCTCATTCTTAGTGCCTGCCTCTGGGCACTAAGACTTCCCTGATTCACACTCCCCAACTCAGGGTCGAACCCAGGGCTGTTCAGCTGGTTCCGAGCACAGGCCCAAAGATATCAGTCCAGGATAGATGGCTCTTGCAGTGTAGAACTGATACTGGCTGGACCCCTTCACAATTGTAGAAGAAATCACAAGATAACTGAAATTTGAATGTATCAGCAATCATTTAAGCAGCCTAAACAGAAAAATGACAGGACATAGAATATCAATAAAAGAGTGAGATCTTATCAACAACTGATTATTATTCTTTAACAAAGATGGAGATGGAGAAAATGTTCAATGGGAAATAAACCTGGTAAACAAAGTCAAATTCTCTTGACTGTCACTCATATGAAGAATATAAAGTAGTCAGTGTCCTAGAAGTTGAGCAAAGAGTGATGATTACCACAGTCTGGGACGAGTTGATGTGGTGCTTTAAATAAAAAT